TGCATCTCATAATAATCATATTAACAGAAGTGAAAATGGCCTAGGATCTTGCAGCAATATGCAAAATGTACACAGTGCCCATATTTAGGAGCTGTAGCATAATGTTTATAATTATAACTATCAATAAACTCCAGATAAGTAACTTATTTGAATGATTGATGACACAACTGCAGAGGGTATCTGATTTTTGAACTGAGAATTAAATGTTAAAGAGATTTAAATCTTGAAACAGTGTTCACAGCAAAAGAAACCCTAGCAACAGCAATGATGTTCTTTACCATCCCTAACCACGCTAACCTTTTAAAAAAGCAACAGATAGAGTGAAACTTCAGAACAAAAACATACATGGAATTAAGCTCAGCATTCAAAGATTGTATGAATATGCCAAAACTATTAATTCTTTCCTTTCAGCATTGAAAACAGAAAGGTTTGTTCCACTGGCTCCTAGCCAGGTCAGTTCACCATCAGCCAAGGGGAGAGAATAATGAGAGCGACCTCCTGCCAGCAGTGCCCTGTGCAGTCCCAGCACATGCAAAAACTGTAACAGCTGCCACTGGAAAACAAAGTGGTTGCATTTATCAAGAACAATGAGGGAATTCAAAGTCCCTAACAAAGACTCTGAAAAATGTATAGCATCCAAATTTGTCATGTAGAAGCATGTGTTATGATGACACCTTCCTTAATTAAAGTAAGAAACTTTCATTTAGCACCACAACTACAAAGCCAGAAATGTTCTCAAAGAGACTCGTGCCCATGGAGAGAAGTTTTTATGCACTGCACATTTGTCACCTGACATTATCAGTGCTCCCACAGTTTGTGACCTATATAATACTACAAAAGGCACCATGCACATGACATAATAAAAATAGGTGCCTAGCACATACACATTATATATTTATTATAAACTATACATTGCATATCAGTAACACACTTACATTGTAAGTCTGAATAGACTAAAAATGGGTGGGCTTACTCCTTCACTCTTCCTGGAGAAAGTGTTTCTGCTTATTGCCTGCCCATCACTTCCTCTTTCATGGAGGACTCAAAACTTCTTCAGACCCTCAAGAAGTATGATACAATAGCTAAAAATTAAGCAGGATTCCTTTTAAACACAGGAAACTATACTGCCTAATCAGGTAATAGTTGGCTGAACACTTTCAGAAAATTATTAAAGGTTACTTTTGATACCTGTGAACACAGCATGTTCATGTGCTGATGTGTATCCACAGGAAAAAAAAAAAAAAAAAAAAAAAAAAAACCCAAGAAGGTTCTTGCTCAAAAGTCAAGTTTGTAATTTAGAGGGAGAGTTGAACTTTTAGAACAAGTATGGGTTACCAGCCTAAAACAAACAAGCAAACAAACAAACACATATTTATGGTTTTCTATTAAAAAATTTAGGAAAAGAAAAAAATATTTCTGATCCTAATGTCCTTAAGCTGTTATTTATTTTACACTGAAATACAGACCCCCCCCCAACATATGTTTTTATAATTTTATAATTATTTTTATGCATTTCTCTGAACAAATATATTCCAACAAAAGATTAACGCAAAAGGTCATCTCTATCGTTCCCATTGTGTGTTAATCTAAGTCTCTGGTATGAAATGCTGTATTTATAATCCAAAGGAAAGAACAGGGATTGTCTGATGTGCTACTGAAAGTTATCAGGTCCCAAGTTTAGACCAGGAATAATGTCATTCTTTGGTAAACAGCCACTGTTTCTTCAAACCCAGCTGCCTTTGGCATATCAAATCTGTCAGAGGTGCTTACAGCAGTGCATAGGTGATTATAACACTTGACATATATTCCCATTGAGAAATGGCAAATCACATACCTCAAATGATTTTCATATTTGGTGACAGACTTAGATTATTATGTATGTACTATGTTGTTTCCAGAATCAACTTCTATTTCCAGAAGTGATGTAAGGTTAAGTTATGAAACTATGCCATGCTCCTAAGAAACCATGTTTTCTTAGATGTTAAATTAAAAACATTGATTCAGAAGTTCAGAAAAGATTAATATTTGGGTTTTTGGCGGAGTTTTAACCTACAATATTAATTAATATTTAAGTGTGTAAAAAAGAAAGGATTTTCAATACTCCTGGAAAGGAATACAACAGGATTTCAGAATAGTTACTCAGCACACTTGAAAATCAACATGAATATCTAAATGTCCTCCTAAACCCAGAAAGACCTAATTTGCAATAGTTTGATATGAGAATTGCTTTATGAAGCCAAATTAAAAAAAAATCATTTGCATGTTGATTAATGCATTTTATTACATATGCAGAACTCAATAATACCCAAAATTTATCCATCATAAAGAATTTGCCCATGAGTTGGAATCCAGTATATGTATTTATAATTCAATTGCCTTTGACATACTAGCAATACCTGGGATCATTATCTTCCAGACAGAAAGCTACAGCAGGAAAAGTGCGGCAAGCATGTACTGGTCCAGCCCTATTGCCACGGACCAGAGGATTAAAGAATGACAGAGTCCCTCTTTCCTCACACATTCTCTTCATCACAGAATCACAGAACGGTTTGGGTTGGAAGGGACCTTAAGGGTCACCCGGTTCCAGCCCTTCTGCCATGAAGAGGGACACTTTCCACTAGACCAGGTTGCTCAGGGCCCCATCCAGCCTGGCATTTGTGATGTTCTCAACTCCGCTGGGTAGTAGCTACCCTACCTCAAAGACTGTGCTTATGCACAGAAGAGTTTCAAGTGTTGAAAGGAGATTGGAGCCAAGAAAATGAAGAGAGAAAAATAGGACGTAAACTGGTACCAGCTTGCTGTAATGCAGAAAGCATAAGAAAGTAGTTTTCCAGTGGGAAGGGGTTACACATGGGTAGATTTAATGGGATACATGTTCCTCAAGGACTGCTCTGGAGACAGTATGTGAGTAAAGCAGGACAAATACAGCAGGCAGACTGAAGAGGGAGGAAAAATTAAAAAGAAGAGAATGCAAAAGGCAGACCAAGAAAAGAGCAAAACAGCACTAAAACTAGAAACTACACCAGTGCACAAAAATATCCATTACATATAGAAATGAAAGCAGTAATTAAAAAAGCCAGAAATTAATATGAAGGAAGATTTCCTTAACCTTCTTCTTGCATGCCTATTTTCTAGGTTGAGGTTGTAACTACTTTGGGACAACAAATCTTCTCAGTCCACTTTTGCCAAGTATCTTATTTACAAAGGCTTAACTGGTGTGAACTACTAATTAGAATAGTGTGATCTCCAATCAAGACAAATTAATCTGACATTTCCCTAGTTTGCTGGACTCCCCAGATGTGACCTATGGCTCCAGGAGCAACTGCCTGGACACCCTCTATGGCTCAGCTCAGTGGAAGGTGCACAACTCACGCAGGCTGTGCCTGACCTTCACTCAGCTAAACACTTCTGCATCTCACTTTAGCTTGACATCTTTTAGGCAAGGTAGAAATCCAGACAAATAAATCTCCCTGTAAATCTCCCAGGTTCTCCACTTCTGTCTTTCACACTTATTACGATAATGCCTGGACTGGGAATTGGCCTGTGAGGCAGCAGGATGGTCACTGAGACAGCAGCTCAGAACCTGAGCTACCCTGCCAGGTTCACTTCTCAGAGTGCTGCAATATTTCAATCCCAATGTTTGACAATGTCCAGCTGGCAGGATGACAGTGAGACACTCAGAGCACAAGCCAGAGTGAGCTTATTTTCCAGCAGGCGAACATATGAAAAACAAAGTTCTGCTGGGTGATGACATCTTCAATCAGCTAAGTAATAGGGCATCTTAATTGATATGAGTGAGCTTCATACACTGATACTGGAAGAAAACATGAGCTCTGGCTAAATACCTTGCAATAGAATATTTTGGATTTTTTTTACTGGCCTGTGAAATACTCAATATAGAAATACTGCAAGCACTGTTATATATTGTTGGTGCTGTCTTCCACCAGATTAAGGCTGCATTTTGAACACAGTAGGTCATTTACTGTACAACAGAGCGCAGCCCTGGCAACAGATGTGTACCTAGAAAACCAGCCATTCAGTGTCTCTCCCGTTTGTCAATGTCACATGGATCAAGTGTGCTGACAGCTGCCAAAAAAAATTGTCTGATGCCACTCTGGACATCTAACCTTTCCCTCTGTACTTGGCTCTGCCGAGTCCACCCTGAATGCTGTGTCCCATTCTGGGCCCTCACTTCCGCACAGACATTGAGGCACTTGAGCAAGGGCAACAGAGAAAAGGGCGATGGAGCTGCTGAAAGGTCTGGAGTACAAGTCTCGGGACGAGCAGCTGAGGGAGATGGAGGGGAGAAAAGGAGGATCAGGGTGACCTCATCACTCTCTACAACCACCTGAAAGGATGCTGCAGCCAGGTGGGTGGTCTTCCCCCGAGCAACCAGCAAAAGGGAGAGAAAATGGCCTCAAGCAGTGCCAGGGGATGTTCAGACTGGACATCAGGAGCAATTTCTTCATGGAAAGGGTTTCTAAACATTGCAGTGGACTGCCCACGGAAGGTGGTGGAGTCGCCATCCCTGGAAGGTGCTCAAGAAATGACTGGATACAGCACTCAGTGCCCTGGTCTTGCTGACATGGTGGTGTTCAGTCATAGGTTGGGCTCGATGGTCTCAGGGGTCGTTTCCAACCTAAATGACTCTGTGACTCTGTGACCCATCCCAAGCATCTCATCTGTACTCCTTGAAGTCAGTAAAACCCTGATTTTTCCCAACAATCCCTAAGCAATTTGCTTTATTTCTGCTGAATTAGCACCTAGCAGTCCGTGGAGTTTTTGTACACACGGCTGAATAAAAACAATTTACGTGGGGCTTTATTTATTTCTGGGTGTTTTATGTATTTAACACGGCCCAACCCGCGTCCCTCCTCAGCCCCCTGTGCCCCCCGCAGGCCTCTACCTCTCCCTCTCAAGGGGGCGGGGCCTCGCCGGCTCTGACCAATCAGCGCAGCGGCAGCCGGGCCGCGGGGCGGGACTGGCGCGGGGGGCTGTCACTCCGGTGACGTCACGGCGGGATGAGCGGGCGGGCGGAGGTATGGCCGGCGCTGGGCCGTGCACCTACCGCCCGTGGGGATGAGCGGGGTCCTGCAGCCCGGGACAGCTGCCCTTCCCCTCTCAGGAGGCCCTGGAGCTGGGCAGGGGCGGCGGGGTGGGTGCGCTGCCGCCTCTGCCTTCCCAGGAGAAGTGTGTCCGTGGCTGGTGGCGGCTGCAGCTCTGCCTGTCCCTGTGTGCAGGCCTCTGGCTGTCCCGCGTGTGCTCCGCCAGCCCCTTCCTCTCTGGCATCTGCCGTCCCTCCGGGGGCTGCGGGGGCCGCGGCTCGGCAGGGCCGCTGAGCGCTTCCCTCGGCCTGTGCAGCTCCTCTGCGGGGTGCTGCCAAGGAGCGCCTTCCCTGAGTTTATCCCAGCCCCGGGTGTCCTTTTTGCTCTCAGAAGCCGCCACAGGGCCACTTGTGTTGCCCAGTCCCGTTCATTCCGCAGAACATGAGCAGGTCTTGTGTCTGGGTCAGCTCCTCCAGCTGGCTGTGCTGATGTCCCCCTGGAGCTTTGGCCGAACCTGTGCTGTCCCCAGTCCCTGGGGAAGGTTCAGTCCTCGCCTCTGTGCAGGCTGCTGCTTCACTCAGTGGTTACCACTGTGTGATTTCAAAATGTTTGCTAGGCTATGTCTTAATGTCACGTATTATGGTCTAGGCAGCTAGTTAGGTCTGGAAAAGCTTGACATAGATGTATAGGTAGGGACAGAATCATTTCACTTTATGCTTTGAAGCTTCATTCTCTAATGCAGAACATAAGGTGTGGAGTCATAAAGTGAATTGCCCATTATTGTATGAAAACTTTTTGAGCCAGAGGTGCAGTTACTCAACTAGTACTCTTAAACAGAAGAAATAAAAACAGGCTTGCAATTTGGGTTTATTTCTTAATTGTCTCGGGTTTTTTTCATAATAATGTGTAGATGTAGAGACTGGCAACAGTTCCTTGGTTTTTTTGGGGGGCTTTTTGGTTTTTTTATAATAATGATATTGGGTTTTGTTTCATTTCTAGGTTAAAGTGAAAATACCTTTTGGAAACAAATACCTTGATGCTATCTTTTCTGTCCCAGAGAAGAAACCAACATATGGAGTGATTCTTACTCATGGAGCTGGAGGAGACATGAATTTCCCTCACTTAGTGTCCTTGGCAGCCTGTCTTGCATCCCATGGAGTTCTGTGCCTGCGGTTTACTTGTAAAGGCCTTAATGTTGCTTACAGGACTAAGGCTTTCAAAGCAGTTGTGGTAAGGAGTGAAAAAATTCTTAGACCAAAGCTTAGATCCATGGGTGCTGTCTTCCGGGTTTCTCAAATTACAGCCAGAGATTAGTCAAGCAACAGTGGGAAAATGAGAACCAATGTTTAGGTAAATGGAGCACTGTGCATTAATAGAAACAGCAGAAGCAGTTCTTAGATGGGCAACAGCTGGAGCAGCTGCCACAAGTGTGTGGGTTTGAGATCAGGGACAAAGAAAAACCTGACAAAAAGCAAGGGTGTTTCATGGGAAAGGTTACAGCTTACAAAAAGTGGAAGAATTTAGGATGGAAACAAGCTGAGTAAAGAATTTAGGAAGGGCGATCTGCTTGCATTGAGTAGGAGGCATTTTTATTGGGGACCAAAGTCCAGTTCTAAAGGAATTCTGTATGAAGTCATTATGATTATATGTACATTAATTTGAGGTCAGACTTTACTGTCTTTATGGAAAAAGCATAATGTTGTTAGTGCATTTATGTTAATATGCTGCTATGTAAAGGTAATTTTAAGGCACCTGCTAAGATGATCTGATAAGACAGCATCTGATTAGTTATCTCCTAAAACGTGAAAAAATGTTGCTGAATTTTATCTTTTCTGTTGGACATAACTGATCGTGTCACAAATACATAATTTCAATGAAGGGCATTTTTGCAAACCTGCTTTTCCTTTTGATGGGCCAAGAGTGTGCCCATCACACCCCACACAATGGGGTCTGTTACTGTAACTGAGTTGATACATAGTAATCACTTATGTTTTGGTAACTTTATAGGGTATCTGATATTTTAGATTTGCTGAGAGCTAATGTGAAATTGATTATGTTTACGTTGTTGCTGCAAAACGTTATGAAACCATTTATGTCATAAAACCCAAGAGAGCACCTTGTATGTATCTTTTCTTTAATCTGCAGTGCTGAAAGAGCTTCCCATTTTCTGTGTAGTAGCTACAAACAGAAGAGATCGCCATCTTCCCGACTTATAATGTTTCTCTTTCTCTTATTTCTTTAGGAATACTTAAAACTTTGTGATGATTATAAACTTTCTGGTGTTTTCCTTGCAGGTATTGTTTTTATTATCAATAATTTTCTCTCTTATACTGTCTCTAGTAATGGCAATCTGTAAGTATTCCAAATCTGTCCCACTTTGGTGAGAAGCAAGTGAACGAACCCTCCTTATGGTACACTCTTACTGTAGAAGAGGAAAGAAAGTTGTATTTTCCAGGTACTTTGGGAGAAAACTTCCTTGTCACTTAGAATTTACAGGGCATGAGTTTTCTAATTATCCATGTGTACTTTTTAACTGCAGGTCTTGAAAAATCCTGATAAATGGAAAACAGTTTTCCCAAAACAGGTTTTGGTAATTAAAACCTAGTGGTGGATAAAAAAAGTCAGCTATGTTTTGTGAAAAGGGGAATAGATGGGGGTGGTTAGGAATATCTTGATAGGGAAAATTCTAAGTTTGCTCTTAAGTGAAACCATGTCTGTGTTGCTATAAGAACTAGCAACTTGCAACACTCAATTGCAGTGCATTGTCAGCTCATATGCCTCCTCTTTAAGGAAATACTTTGATATTCCCTTGCTGTTACTGACTGATCTCATGTTCCAAGTTCACACTTTTTTCCCTTCTACTTTTACTTTTAGGCTGAAGTTCAAGGTGTGCATAAACACTTGCTGGATTTGTTTTGTGAGCCAAGTGAAATCAAGCACAGAATTTTGTTTTGAAGTTGAGCAAATTGAGGTTGCATGAAAATCATGACACAGGATACTGTCATGGCTGTTTCAAATTTCCAGGCTCTGGAGCATAGGACCAGTCCTTCTCTCCCCTTGTCCCCAGAATGGGGTGTTGTTCCTTCCAGCATTGCAAGGGATCCCTATCCGTTTATATTTTCTTTCTTTTCCCCTTCTTTTTTAAACAGGGGTGTAAATGTTACAACTAGACAAATTATCTTAGCAGAAAATGTTGAAATTAGGATTAATGTTTTTCGTTAAGTAGACCATCCGTAGAATTTTGTGCCAGTGAAATACACTCAGTTGGATTGGTTTGGGGAGTTGTTTACTAAACCAGAATGTAGATGAGGTGACAGCAGATAATACTTTTTTCCTTTATTTCTGCATGGGAGAAAGGCCGTTCCATGGGCTCACGAGCTGCTGCGTCTGTGATACGTCAGCTGAGCCAGGGTGATGATGATGATGGCTTCATTCAAGGTCTTGTGTGTTTATCTTACCCATTGCATCGACCAAAGCTGCAGTCCAAGCTCTGGGATGAGGATTTATTACTGATCACATGTCCAGTGCTGTTTGTCTCAGGATCAGCAGATGAGATGTGTGAAAAAGTGAGTACCCTGGTAAATCCTGCTGTGAAAGGGCAGTCTGGAGGAGCAGCAATGAGCCTCAGTGATGCCTGTATTTCACCTGATTAACAGCCTTGCCTAAATAGGTGTCTTCTGAAGGAAGCCTTGGGTAGAAAACTTCATCAGACACAAGGAAGCCTGGCAGTGCTTCCTTTAGCTGCTTCAAATGTAATGGAACACGCTTGATCTTCCACTTTAGCAAGCTCATCTTTGGGTCACTGAAATACCCCTGATTTGAATGGTTTCGATAGGATTACATAAATTAAAAGTGGTCTATGGAAGGAGTGAGTTATTTGCTATTTTGTTTTATCTGTTTCAAGTTACAAAATCTGTGCAGTGCCACCAATGTCACATTGGTCACATGTGACATTTTTCATGGCAAATTCTTCTTGCAAAGCGGTTCTACCCCCAAGTCAGGCTTCTGTGGTAAAAAGTGATATTTTTGTAGAGACGAAGAGCAGGTGTACAGAGAGAGGGAAACAGTGCTTTTCTGCCATGTTTCCTTGCAAACAGGCATCTGTTGTTCTTGAACAGGTCAGTGTGAATTTGGGTCTATGTAAAATTGGCATTTTCCATGCTTGGACAGTTTCTAAGGAGTCATATTGCTTTTGTGAGGATTTGTTGCCAAAATGTCAGGCTAGTGACCAGCAAGTAGATCTTGGAGTGCCCTCTTTATGGTGGAATCTTTGATTTTGTGAGCTGGTTCTTAGATCAGTTTCCTGAGAAATTACAACAGTGTCAAAGCTAGTCCCTAAGGAATTACATTGCTACTCAGCCTCTGCAGACTGACTTCAATTTTATCATTTTATTGCCAGCACTACCCTCTGACAGTAAAAATTGACTCCTTTGAAGTTCTAATTTTCTGCTGTTCTCTGAGTGAGGGTAATGCTTTGAGCAGGTCTCAGTATTCATATCCTGAATAGAGAATACATCCCATTTTCCTAGCAAGGTGTTTTTCATGTGCACACAGATCCATCTGCTTTTTAGGAGCTGCCTATTTTGCATTACACAGGCAAAGCAAGAGCCATCTAGGAGTTACAGAGTTGGTAGCAACCAATTCTCTAATACTTGCATTCTTGTTTTCTCCACAGCAATTGCTAGAAGGTGTGGTGAGCAAAATGAAAGCCCCTAAAAAAATCCATTGGATTGATAAAGCAAACCATGGGATGGCAGTCAAAGGACGAACAGCAGATGATGTCATGGAAGAAGTAAATGCACAAGTTTTTTCTTGGCTTAGAGAGCATGTCCAGCTGCAGCACAAATAATTTGCAGTATTCAAGCAGTATCTTAATTTCATTTTTCCTACATGTGGCAAATAAAGGGTTTGTTATTTTTTAGAGGCATATTTTTTTAAAAACTGATGTTTTCAGAGGTCTAAGTGCAAATGCAAATAAAGCTTTGTATGAATGAAAAAAAAATGCAAAACAATAAAGAACTTCCAGAAGGACAGAAAATATATAATGGCAGCATTGTTCTCTGTGTTTCTATGCAAATAACCAAATACAACACTTGGGAATGCAGAGGATTAAGTAATGCTTTTGACTAGTATTTGAAGTAATATACTGGAAAAAAATCTGCTTGGACAGAGTATCTTTAAGGTTGCTCAATTTCCGAGTATATTACTGATGCTGTACTCACTTGCAATTAAAACCTCTGATTGGTAGGGTTCTGCCAGCACATCCCCTAAGGCTGGCGAGCCTGGTGTACTGCTTTGCCTTGGTGTTGTGTGCTGGCCTTCCCAGGTGTTTCCAAACCTATGAGGCAGGGAGAGGAATCCCTGGCTGGTCACAGTGTCTGCCACTTTAAGGAGCCAGATTTTGCCTGTGTGGGGAGGAGGAGCAGGTAATGCAGGCACAGCTGGGCACTGGAGCAAAGAACATGGTTCAGTTTTGAGAAGTCCCCTTCGCCAATGTTCTTTGTCTAAAGGACTGATCACAGGCACTCTCTGATAAATAAAAACTGGTAGACAAATTGTGTTTGGTGATGGAGGAGCTCCTGGAGCAGGAACCAGTTCTGCATCTATTGTGACAGGAGGAACTCAGGTCACTGAGCTCTGACATTGGAGCGTGGATGAAACACTTAGTGTGTACTGGCAGCTGCAGCCTTTCTCATTATGGGTTGTTTGTTAGTAACCTGTTGGTATAACCAAGCTTACAATTCCCTATTGGAATTGTGGTTTTCCTTCAGGTTAACAAGATTTATTATGAACCTCACAGCATTGCCTTTGAGAGTCTCTCAGAAGGAGCAAAGTTGTGGTCTGAAAAAAGATGCCGATGGATGGATGGAGAGTAGAGGGGGGACGATGTACAATTCTCGTCAGCCCTTCTTTGCAGAATAGCTTCATGTTTGTGAAAAGACTTACTATATACAAGCATGAGTAAAAAGTACCTGCATGTCCAAGGTAACTCAGGACAGGAACACATGACTGATACAAACATGTTTTTTATTTTAAAAAAATTATAAAAATGTGTTTGAATAAGGTTCTGCCACCACTGCATGATGAAAAGGAAATCAGGGGTGTTTTGTTTTCTTCCATACGTAGATCATGAAATGGTAAACTTTAAAATATCCACTGACATTATCCACAGGCATACTAACCCAGAAGTTTTCTTTTTTCTTTAAGAAGACAGTCTGAATTTAGGTAAATACTGAAAAAATGTATTTACTTCTGTCAGAGTTCATCTTTGGCCTGCAGTCAAGAAAGAAGAAACATGTTTCAGTTAACTGGAAGCCTATTTTTCACTGTCTAGTCCTGCAAATACATCAAGAAGTGTTTCTAAGTTCGATAGGTGTTAATGGCCTGGCCTGATAACTGATACTGTGGAGCACTGAGCAGCCCTGCTCCAGCGGGGCTGAGCAGGAACTGAAGACACTCAGCACTTTACATTTAACTCTGCATAGGCTGTACCTTTTTTCGGTGGCAAGTGCATGGGAAAAGGTCATCATCAGGCTGCTGCACCTTCTCCATCCCATCTCTGATTTTTGGTTCACTCACTTGCAAGCTGGCGTATTCCTAGTTTTAGAAAAGGAAGGTATCATTAATCCATAAATTTTTTAGATTGTACATCTAGTTGCCAATATTGTACCAAATCAGCTGAGCAACTCTGTAAAAACTCTGGGGCTACACAATCTGTTCCTTCAGACTGTCACAGACAGGGTGAGGGAACACTCAGCTGCAGATGGGAGCCCCTTTGGGTGCCTCCCTGGAGTTCAATATCTTGGTGCTAATGCACAGATATTTTCAGCTGTGGTTCACAGGGTGTGTGTCTGATGTGGAATTCTTTGATCATTGTGGGCTACATATTCTGGCAGATTAAATCAAGATTTATGGGATCCCACTGCCTCCCAAACAGCCAGCATAGTCTGAAGGGGTTTCATAGCATATAAATTGAATACAATGTTTGTAAAAACCAAATGAAGATTTTAATTGCTGATGCTTGCTTCGTGGCTTCAAGTACCAGACTGGCCAATGTCCAGCAGTTCTGTTGCCCCAGATTCTTGCTGTGTGATTTCTATTTCTGTGCCAGTAGCCATTAAAAATATACTGACCTGGAAAAGTTTGAAATAGTAACAAAAAATGTGGTCTCCCATGAGATTGTTTCTTGCGAATTCTTGTCCAGATTTTGCAATATTTTTTGCCTGTCAAAGAAAATGAAAGTTTGGTTTATTTTTTTAATTGCCCAGAATTAGTATTTATTTCAGGGTGCTACTGTTGGTTGTGGAGTTACAAATGAAGTTGACAGTTTAGGATAACTCAAATAAACAATTCTTTTTAAAAGTTAAGGTTTTGTTAGGAAGATACTCTTTGTTTCCTGAAGTTCAATTTTATTTCAAATTAAGGACAATATTATGCATTTTTGAGGGTTTTTCTTCTTTGTAGAGTTGATGAAAACAAATTTCAAGTTCTCCTAGTATTTTTTTTGCTTTTTTTCTAAAGAAATTCAATTTCTGTTCTCTTCTAGAAACATTACTGCATACTTCTTAATGCATATTTTACCTCTTCATCATGATCTTTTGCCCACTGTAGTTTTTCTAGCAGATCACTCAGGTCACTTTTAAATGGGATGTAGTGTTTCCATGGCTGCAGCTCGTTATAAAAGTGCTCATAGTAGATGGAGTCTTGCTTTAGCACCACACTGTTTCCTGCTAGTAGATAAGGCAATCTGTATGCTGCCACTGTGCCATCAATATTAATTTGATATTTATACTGGAAAGAAAAGAACCAGAAGTTATTAAAAACCACAAGATCCCAGTGGCTCGGTTAGGTTATATTCTGAGGGCACTGGTGTTACTGACTTGCCGATATTGAGACAGGTAGGACTGGCTAGGCAAGCATCAATGTCTAAGAAGCTTTTATTATCTAGTTTGGAATTCATCACAGTGCAGGGTACACAGAGCTTCATCAATTAAGTTCTCCAGGAATTCTTAGGTGCTCATCCTTGGATGTGAGGGTAGATGTGCCACTTCATCCACTGATTTTCCCACTATGTTAGTTATGTTAGTAGTCCTGATCGCTGAATCAGGAAAAAGAGATAAAAAGGAACTTGAAATTACATAGATTACATGAGGTTCTACAGAACCTTTAGATGTAAATCAGACATTATTATCCTGAGGGTAAGAGCTACATAGGAGTTAATCCCACTGGAGGGATGTCTAGTCATGCTTGTTACTGGTGGTGTCCTGAAAAACTAAAAATCACTTTATTTTCAATAATACATACTAAGTTATTTGATAATTGGAAACAATGAGAACTGACTTCTACGAAAAATTATTAGTGGCTTACCTTAAAAAAATCAAAAAATGAAATGTGCTTAACGATAGGGCCATAGAGGCTTTCATCGTGTTTAAAGAAAAAAAAGTTTGTGAAAGCAGCATCTATGATCTGTGGATATTTCCTGCTGAGTTTTACAAGCTCAAGCCTCTCTTTGCGGCTGTCACGTCCTCTCCAGAAGGCTGTGGCGTTCTTCTCTTCCCACGATGGGCCAGTGTTTGCTTGGACTGACATCATATCCAGGCTGACTCTACAGCAGAAAGAACTGGTTCAATAGTGAAGCCTACTGGAAACTTTTTAAAGTGCAGTTACTTAAGAGTTCACAGTACCCATAGGCAGAGAGCAAAGATGAAGGGAAGTCATAAGCGCCTCATAATGTGTTACTGTATCAGTCATTTGCAGCAATAGAAACATAATGAATGTTAAATTCACAGGCACGTAGCATGATGGCATCATTCAACAACATGGCATGAGGAAACAGTACCTGTCAGCTGTCATGGAAAAAAATAGGTAAAAGTAGATATGGTTGCCAGAGAAGGTGATGCAAGGTACTGTAACTTGCTTAGTAAAACATATTGCACATACTTAAAAATGTGAAGAAATTAAACACATAAACTGAGAGGGCAAGGGATAGCAAATTAGAAAAACTCTTGAGAAAAAAAAGGAACCTGAACTAAATGCAGTGAAATGGTAACTTCAAGATGGATTACAAAGATTTCTTAGAAGCAAGCTGTCTTTGTAGTGTTTCAAGACAGAAAAGAGCAGTTGCCAAGGCTAGTTACAGTCAGTAATCAAAGTGGGAGATGGTAGCTCCTAGTTCAAGAATTCCCAATAATTGTGTTGGGATTTGAAAGGTACAAAAAACCAGATTCTAACAAAATCAGGGAAGCAAGACACCTGGCTAGTTGTCAACAAGTTCATGGGGGGAAAAGCAAAGCAAACAAATCAAATACCTAGCCTTGAAACACTCTTAAGTGCTATTTTCAGTGATTTGACCACGTTTAGATAAATTTGGATTTTTTAAATGAAACAGTGAAGCATAATAATATATTGATTACACAGTTACTGTCTACCTAGAATGCCAGTGTCTCAGTGAGTAAATGAAAATATTTAATAAACTGTTACCATACAGATCTCTATGGAAGATCATTCATTGTGAATTTTGTGAAAAGTTTAAGCCATTTCTTACCGTCCCATAGTCTCCAAAACTGAGTCTGTTAGGTCGTATGTTGGCATGACAATGTCTTTTGACTCACTGGACCCACACCATGAGAAGATCGGGTGCAAGTTCTGTGGGGGCTTCCTTTTCTCCAAAGGCCAGTCCCCCAGATTAACAAAAAATTCTACATCTGGCATTTTCACCTAAAGAGAAGCAAAGTAGGCACAAATGCAGTTTAGCACAAACAGTATTCTGCTGGCATCTTGCATTTTGAAAATAACCACACTAAGATGAAAAATAGCCAGGTGTCTAATATACTTAATGTACCTGTAATAAATCACTGACATTTAGAAATGTGTTGGAAGTACTGAGACCACAGAGTAAAGCCTACAGAATAGTATTTTTTAAAAAGATTTGTACAAAGTCACATAAGGCAAAGGAGCACACTTTTTAGAGGATGGTTTCTGCTATACTTTAC